TTGTTCCCTTCCTTATGTTTTTTTTTTTTTTTTTTTTTTCTGTACCCCCTGTCCCATGCAGGCCTCTCGAGCCTTGTCCTGTCCATTTTCCCCAAGCTGATCATAAAAAACCCACAAGTGTTAAGGCCGTTGCTAAACGTAAGTTGGGGTTACCTGTTCGGGTCGACGTTCTGGTTGTCCCTCTTCTCTGAAATTGGTCTGGTTAGGAGCCTGAAGAACATGAAGAGAATCCCCGTGCCAGAAACTGCAGATGAAGCAAAAAAACAGTTAGAAGAAATAAAAAAGTCAGAAGCAGATTTTACTAGAAGAAGAGAAGACTTCCAATACTTTTTTGGTTTCTCTACTCTCTTCTCTGGCATACTGCTCTTGTCCACCGTGCGATTGGCAAACCACAACATGCAACTGAGGATCAGCTCTACCATTGTTGCCTTGTCCTGCTTGTTAAATAATTTGTACCTACAGAATAAGGTGCACAGCTTAAAGATACAAAAGGAAAGCTTATATCATGATTTCATTAAGAACCCTAAGAGCGAAAGTATCCTTGCTGAGATTAGGAAGAACAAGAAAGACTTCCACATATACCATGGATTATCTCTCCTCTCCCTGTACGTTTCCTTCGTCGGCCTGACTCCATACATTTTCACTTAAGGCGCATTCCCGCTTCGCTTGCGCAGCTGTTCTGAGGGAGTGTGTCCACACCGTTTTAATACGCTTGTGCGTGTGCGCGTCCTTTCTCCCATATGTGTGTGGAAACCTGTAACCTGCGTGTAAGAGTAGCGTTTAAGCGTAGCGTTTCACTGTTGCGTGTGATAGTAGCTATTGGAGAAAAGGACAAGCGGATACGGAACTTTTTTTAACGCCGACCATCGGGACGCCCGCACACCCAGTTGACACTTGCGCAGCACAGGGGCGCGGGCTCCGATGTCTCGCATTCACGTCGCTTCTTCACCTATTCACATATTCGCATCGTGACATCCCTTTCACTCTCATCATTTTTTTTTTTTTTGCATGTGCAACGAAAACACACATCTTCTCCTTCCCATGCGCATTACAACACACATGGAGAGAAGGCTAACCCGTTTGGACCCAGAAAAAAAACTTTTTAAACGAATTGAAACTTGTCCTCATTTTGCATAAATTTTATTTATATATGTTTATCAACCTTTTTTAAAAAGAAAAGGGAAGGTTAAATGTACGCCATGTGTCTATAACCATTTTGGTTGACCGCGAAAGTTGGCTCCCCCCTTTTTTTTTTTTTTACCGGGAGGAGAATTTTGCTTCAAAAAAAAAATACAATGTCCAATAAAAATAGCTAAGCTGTTGTTCCACATCGAAGTGTTTGTTTTTTCTCCTCAGACAATATCCACATTGATGTATTTACAGGGGGTCTTTTATTTTTTTTTTTATTTTATTATTTTATTATTTTTCTGTTTATCTCATTTGTACGTAAGTCTCAAAATGTCCAGTGGGGTGACAATCCTCCAGAACAATTTTCCTTCCCGTAAACGTACATGCCACGTAACAGCATATAAACGCGTACATTTGGGTTAGTCCGATTAGGGGCCGCTTTTTTTTAAGTTAAAATAAAATCGTCCACAGGTGGGGCACATACACGTATGAGCAATAAGGATACGCTATGAGGGAAAAATACAAGTCACCAAAAAAAAAAAGGACAAAATAAAACGGTATGCTTGAAGCATGTTGAAAAAAAAAAAAGAATTTGTGTCCTACATGGCCCGTTTTGGAGGTCCTTTTGTTAAGCGGCGCACTCCCATTTAAGGCACCTAACGGATGGCTGCTATAAATTGTTGTAAAAAAAATTGCCCATTAAAAAAAAAAAAAAAAAAAAAAAAAAAAAATGAGTTCTTTGAAGCCGCATTTATTCCACTGTTTGCTAAAAATATAAGAATATTTTATTCTTTAACATTTGCCCTCTACATAGGTTGTGAGAAACCCATTTGAGGGTCCCCGTTTTTTTTTTTTTTTTTTTTTGCTGCATCGTTACATTGGTAAGGTTTTTTTTTTGCTGGCCCAGTTACTCCCATTTTGTGGCTTCCATTTTTTATGGCAACAAGGGAGACTACATCTCGCCGATAAATGCGAAAAACTGGACTCGCGTGGAGTCGCCAGAGAGGATTTGTCAAACTTCACTTGGGGGTCAAGACACTGGTGAGGGGTCCTCCTTCTTGCCCCCCCCGACCTGTTCCCCATTAAGTCCAACTGGTACACAAGCAGCTGAGCCCCATACATAGCCGCTCACTGCGCTGCATACGTATTTACCACCTGTGTCAACCCTACCAACCTTCGAAGGGCAAAATGATAGAAATAATACTGAACGACCGATTGGGGAAGAAAATACGCGTAAAGTGCAATCCGGATGACACCATCGGGGATTTGAAAAAGCTCGTGGCTGCACAAACAGGTAAGTAAGATCTTCTTCATCCACGTGCGAAGTGGTTAGCGGTTGCCGTGGCACACCCCCACGTGCGTAATTGTTTTGTGGCAGAGTGTCCCGCCAACGTAATCACTGTTGTTTACACCACCTGCAGGAACCAGGGCGGACAAAATACGAATTCAAAAATGGTACACCATTTACAAGGACCACATCACTTTGCAAGACTACGAAATTAAAGACGGGATGAGTCTCGAGCTATATTATAACTGACTCAGGTTGAGTTGACCACACTGGAGAGGCCACAAGCACACATGGTAAGTCACCGACGGAGACCAAGACAGAGTGAACCGCCATTGTTGGCATGCACAAAAGCTGGCGGCACATTTGTCCCCTGCCCCTGTGTGCCATCGAAGTGGAACGAAAAATGATGAAACAGCTTTCGCGTCCTTAGTAACCAAAAGGGGAAGCACAAAAATTAGCACCTCAACAAAGCATCCTTTTAAGAAAACGGAGTTTGATCAAAGTGCAGGAATTTCCCCCACACACACGCTCACGAAATGTTACATCCCTGTGATGAGAACACTTCCGCCTGACAGAGTCCCCATCGGAAAAAACAGCCGATGTGGAAAATGGGATATTCAGTCGAAACCAATTTGATTATGCAATTACCTTTTTTCACCTCTCATTTCATTTTATTATTGTTCTTTTTTTCCGATTAAGGTGTGTTTTTTTTTTTTTTTGTGTTCATTCCTTCCCCACACCCTATGATGAAACACTGTTGTGTATGTCAATACAAAAACTGGGATACACGCACCCAGAGTAGACTGTTTATTTAAAAAAAATATATTCCATCACTTCATTTATGTGATCCCTTTGGGGGGTATTATCGGGACACTTTTGTCAGATACATATAATAACGCCCATTTTGGTAAAAGAGAAAAGTGGGAAATTTTTCCCGATGGCCTCTTTATGGCACATGTTGCTTGTGTGGGTATAGTACTTTTCTCCGCAAAATTTGCAATTTTTTTTTTTTTCCCTTTTTAACAACCGCGGGACAGGAGAAACTAATGGTTGCTTTATCACCTTCGTGAAAAGGAAGGCGTGTAATCCCATTCTGTGGGCAATTCGAAAAGGGATAAGGGGTACCTGCACAGTTTACCATTTCGCCTATCTTTTTTTCCTGTACCTCTTTAACAACAACACGTCGCTTGGCGAACATAGAAAAAAAAAAAAAAAAAAGGGGGGGTCGCGCCCCTTCCTTCACCCATACACCTATCCTTACCTGTACGTTGTTCTGATTATTTTTTTTTCCACGTGTTGCTTTAGTTGCCCCGGGGGCAGAGTTGCACCATTTCTACGCGACGTGTATCGTTGCTGTACTGGATTTATAATATATAGGGACTAATTATTTGCGAAAATTTCTTGTTCTGATATTTTTCTGTGGCCACAGCGACGTGGGGACAAATTGCCGCCGCCGAAACACATATGTGGAAGGGGACGGCGTACCGCAACAAGCGCGTGTACCCGCACGGTATAATAACACGCACAGCACCAACGGAACGTCGTACATAGTGTACATATAAATATGTGACGTCATTGCATCTACTCATAAAAAAAAAAAAAAAAAAAAAAAAAAAAACATACCAGAAAGGTTATGTATAGATGGGTACATAAACAACTGGATGTATATATATATTTTTTGTTTTATTTTTTTTTTTTTTTGTGTTTGTTTGCCTTTCTGTGCATAACTGTGCCAACCCAAATTTGTACCGTACGTTGCGGAGCCTTCTCAGGGGTACGACCGAGTTACCATAATCCTTTTCGCTCTCCTAAAGAGAAGAAACGTGCCCCTGCGAAGAAGTGCGGAGTACACGGATGCGCCCTTTCGCCTGTAAAAAGGGGGCCACACCCCATGGTACAGCTTACCAATTTGAAGGGTAATTAGTACACGGAGCGTTTTGAAGGGGAATAAACCACCTTGCGTTGCCGCCGCGCATAAATAATGCGAGACTTTTTCTCCTTCCCCCACCCTTGTGGGAAATCAAACGTATCATTCTGTTTGGTTTAGACCTCTATAAAATTACGGCGTTAAAAAAATCCTGATGGGCGTGTTTGCGCGGAAGCGAGGAAATTTCAAAGGGGAGCTTCTTCAAAACACCAGTTCTCCCACGGAAGATATATGCCTGTTCGGTGACGCCGTGAGTTTTTGTTTACCAGTTGTGCCTTTGGTCGGTGCAACAAAAAACTTCCGAAGCGTAGTGCACCCCCGCACTGTGTAAATAGCGGACGCTCTAACACAGCATTGTGGGTCTCCTTTTATACCTCGACAAGGGCATACCTTGTGCAGGTGTACACACGAGATACCGTAGGCCTGTACAGGCATCAGTCACATTGCCCTGGAGGAGTGGTTAAATTAAGGAAAATACGCTTCGAAATAGGGTGTGCCAAATAAAGACATAAACACACACACACACACACAACCCCACGCGTGTCTCCAAAATGGGTAAAGGAGTGACAAAGCTGATGGAACTCAGCCTCTTCATCGGAGGGTTCCTGGTCTTATGGTATGTAACAGGAGAAAAAGTATTCAGAAAAAAAAAAAAAATAGTCAAGGATAACATTTTACTCATTTTGAGGCACCTGTGTTTAGAAATTTATAAAGTCCTGAATGAGACTTCGAAGACAACCAAAAGTGTATATGACATGATAAAAAATGAGCCCAACACAAGTATAGAATTGAATAAGTTAGAAGAGGTGCTACTGAACAATGGGTATAAGCAAAGGATAGAAGACGTGGAGAAAGACGTGTTAAATAAATTTGACGTAACAGTAGAAGATTTTTACGACGAATTGAAAAACTATGAAAAAGATGAAGATGTACAGAAAGTTCTTAACTCCATTAAAAAAATGTACCATGAATCGTTATTAGGAATACAACCCAAGTTACCCTCCATAAGTGAAAATATATCGCAAGATGTTATATTAAATTTAACTAGCTTAATTTATAAAAAAAAGAGAAAAATTTATAAAGAAAAAATTGATTCTATGATTAAGAAAAATCAGGACTTTAACTTAAACACCACTTTTTCAAATTCAGAATTTTTTAACAAACTACAAAAATCAACAGAACATGTAGAAGAACAAGTTATAAAGGAAAACCAAGATTTAGTTCCAAATGTGTTTACCTTTAAATATCTTATAAATTACTACTCGGATGATATAAATTTTGTACAGAGAAAAAAATACCTTGAATCTAAACATGGAGAAAAAATGATTAAAATACTTAAAGTGAAAAAACTTAAACAGAAAAGAAAAATCACAAAAGATAATTTAAGTAATAAGGGCTTTAAGACCCCACCTAGTCAGCACTCACTCATTGATCAAACAGACGCCGCTCCGCCATACCTGGACATGGCTTCTTCTTACCACCAAGTGAATGAACTCTACGTCGGACAGGATCAGCCTATAGTCCAACCCATTGCTCCTCCAGAAGAACACATAAGCGACTTTGTGCAAAGTGCACAAAGCATTGAGGTGGAGGAGGTGCAGGTGCAGCACAAGGGAGCAGAAAAGGAAGACGAGGAAGAGGAAGTGAGTCAGGAAGGCCCCCCACTGTCTGCCCAAATGCATGGCGACCACGAAAATGAAGGACAGGGCAGTTGGATTAGCGCACAAGAGGGTTACGAGGAAGAGGTTCACGATGAAGAAGTTTACGATGAACAGGGTTACGATGAAGAGGTGCCCGATGAACAGGGTTACGATGAAGAGGTGCACGACGAAGAGGTTTACGATGAAGAGTTTTACGATGAACAACCTCACGATGAGGAGGTGCACGATGAAGAGATTCACGATGAAGAGTTTTACGATGAACAACCTCACGATGAGGAGGTGCA